CAGGGGAACATGTATTTTATAGGTAGGTTCAAGAAATTGGTAGGAAGCATTGGTTGATTGATGAATAAGGTATGAGTTGACTGCTTTGTATCGGATGAGAAGAGGTGGGAATCCTGTGATGAGGACCTGGGAATTACTGGTTACCTGGTGAAGAATGCTTAGAGCTTTGCCTGTATAAGACAGTTCTGCAGAGGAACACCAATAGAGGAGGTATAGATATGGATACAGATCAACATTTGGCTCACCAACTTATGTAGGCTGGTAAGTCCAAAATCTGAAGAGTAGATGTCTCAGGCTTTCATTTGATTGGATGAGGATTACCTATAGTGTGAATCACCATCTGCTTTATTCATCCTGCCTATTTAAATGTTAATCTCAATCCAAAACACCTTCACTGAAACACTTAATGTGATATTTGACCAAATATCTGGGTACCCTGTGGTCCAGTCAGGTTGATACACAAATTAACCATTGGAGCCAGGAAAGTTAAGTTGAATATTGTTTCTTTTTGGCATAATTTTAGTTGGCAATTATATATATCTTTACCCTTTAGAGGTTCTCAGACATTGGCTGATGTATTAACTGAAAAATCTGGGCTTCTTATTTAATGCTTACAGTTTTCAATACAAGGCTATCGACTATGCTGATGTGAGTTTTCTCTCTGTTAAATCATAACAAGCTATGTGACCTTTAAATGCTATAGACAAAGTTATTCAGTGTAAATCAGATTATATGTTAAAATTATTTTGGGGGGACCCTACTTGTTATGACATTAGTATTTTGCCCACTGCCACTGCCTTTTTAGAAGCTATTTAAAAAATAGGGTAATGTAAAAACTAAAACTTGGAGGCTGATATCAATCAAATTGACAGGTCATGTATCATTTAATGTTACGTCTAAGTACTTTATAATTTATTCTCAGGTCTATTTTCAGGGGTAGTACAAAGACTAGATTTTTGTATTAAAGTTTGTATAATTCTGGAATGTAAAATGATTTTGTGATAAGCCTCACTATTTTTAGTTCAACCTCTGGAATTTTCTAAGAAGTGCTTTATTAATGGAACAGAGATTAAGAATTCTAAAGGCTTCTATGTTTTTGATATCTTTAACCTCAAAGTAGTCGTTACGTGCTTTGCTTTCTTTGAGAAAATCATCAGTATTAATCATAAGTTTGGAAAGAATTTTGTGCTTTGTGAAAAAATGATTTTTCAATATTTCGTGTGCCTTTCCTCCTCTCATTGAGTTTTGGGTTACTAGAATAACACTGGGATTGAGGAGGTTCAATTAATTTATTGGAGCCCTGCTCCTGTAGTTCTATGTTTTTCTATTCTGAACTTCCAAGTCTATGGTACAGGTACAGTCATTACTGGTTTTTCCTTTTTTTGAGACTATCTTAATTACCATCCACAATGAAGATTGATAGTGCAGCATGCTTTTGAAATTGTCAATAGCAATCACATAAAATGCTTCAGCCTAGATCTTAGTGGAGATATTAAGATTTAAACAATGAGAATGAGTAGGCATTTGTTTTAAAGAAATTCAGAAATGCAAACATAGCTGTATTACACAAAACTTGTATTCCATTGTCACATATGATTATGGCATGTTTGCTAAAACTTAGAAATTTGAAACAAAGTCTTAGTGGGATGCAGTTGATATGGATTGTTTACCAAACTTTGAAATATCAAGACCATAAAGAAGAAATTAATTTGAAGTCAGAAATTGATATTTTTGAGTGGACAGAAGTTATAATCAATTTATGTTCTTAATGTATGTGCCCATAACAGCATAATTGCGTCATCGACTAGGTGTTTCCTAGTACCAGGCACCAGAAATAATTTTACGCATTATCTAATCCTTACTAAAATCGCAAAATGTAGTCTTTTACACACATCTCCTACCTTCCTCTTACACATGTCTATTTTTAAAATGACAATATTTTATTCTACAGAAAGATGAATCTTAAAATTGTTACACTAGTTGGAAAATGCAGTAATAGTTGCTGTCACTTCTTACTCAATTTTGAGCAGACAATGCCTAACACAATGAAGTCATCAGTAAATGAAAAGACTCTTCAAGTCCATCTCCTTGCCCTTGATTTGTCCTTTTACGGATGTGTGCTTCATAATAATCTTTTAAAAAGTAAAATCCTTAAAGAAAATTTGACTGCATAGAAATCATTCTTTGGTCTCTTCTCATTTCACACATGCAAAGAGCTGCCAAAGTATCAATATGCTACTTTCAGCATCTGTTCAGATATAGAATTGAAATTGTATAAAAATTTAAAAATTGTATTTCCCTCAATTTAACAAATATTGAATGCCTGTCAGGTTTCTTATATCTGTAGTTATTAAATATGTTACCTTATTTAATATCACCTTTGTAAAGGTGAGAGATTGCTTAATTGTAAAACCAGTGAGGCATGCAGATAAGAATAGTGTTTGTGTGGGTTTGGGTTTTTGAAATAGTTGTATGTCAGAAATATCAAAGTTTCTGGGTAATGGGCAACTGAACACAACTCTCTTCTCAGTGAACTCGCCATCCTCACCATCCTCCAATTGCCACATAGAAGATTAAAGAAAAATGCAAAAATAGTCCCAAATATTCCATTTCAGGTGATTGGCTATAGTAGGATACGTACATACCCTATATATAAACACACACAAATAGTATACATACAGATACATGCACACATATATAGAATCATTTATATAGTTCTACCTGTCTATACTTAAAGATACAGTATCATCTATATATTGTCATATATATCATATATGATATGTATGCGATGTGTTAGTAAATCTATGTAAAAGGGAAGCTCTTCATTATTGTATCTTTTCAGTTTGAAAGTTATTTAATAACTTGCAAACAAAACGTTAACATGAAATATACACTGTATAGGTATAAACAGGTAGAGCTCTCTAAATAGTATCATTAATATATGGTAGATCATAGATTGTTACTATTTATATCTATATAGTATATATGATACAAATGATATGTATGACACTATAAAGTATAAATTTGGTATTATATATATGAAACCATATTTATAAAGGTTCTATATGTGACAGAACTTTTTACAATTCTGACATCATAAAAAAAATCAATGCAGTACCTAAGCAGAGGTTTTTAATCTGGCTGTACATCAGAATCACTTTTGGAACTTTACAAATATATAGGCTAGTATCTTGTTTGATATGCACTACACATTGATATTTGAAAATATAAAAGGAAAACAAAAAGATATTTATGTTGATTGTGATGTGCAACCAGTTGATAACCATTGAATTAGAAATTGATAAAGATTTGGTATGTGGTCTAATCTTTGAATGACTGTAGACAGAGAATTTATCAGTAGGAAGGACATATTGATTGGTTCCATAGACATTGTAAGAAATTGGCCTGTGAGATGCAGACCACTATAGATTGCAAATAACTGGGAATTAGGAGTGATTAGCTGACAATGTAGAAACCAAGACAATAGTAGATCCACCATATTTCTTATGACATTACTTATGAATCTAGAATCTACATCCTTATGTTTTGTTCACTTACGAGAGGTGAACTTTAAAGTCTACTGCTATTAATATAGATTCATAAATTTTTTCTTAATTTTTGGTTTTAGGAGAGGGTACTTTTTAAATCAGTTTCAAACTTAAAAGATACAGAAATAACACAAATAGCTTCCCTGTCTTTTACCTACCTAGATTCAGTACTTAACCAGCTATTTACATGTTGTCTCATTTACTTTATCATTTCTGTTCATGTACTCCCCTCACAACTTTTCTGTCACACTTTCTTCTCCGTCTCCTCCTTCATCTCTTCACCTGTAGCACTGTGAACTACTTAATGGGGTGGTGTTTAAACCACCAAATTTATAGAAATTGTTGCATAGCAATCTAATAAAAACAGTAAAATTCTACATAATCCATAGGTGAAATAAGAAACAATAGAAATTAGATGTTTCTAATGATACGATTGTAAACAAAAGCAAATAAAAAGAAATGACATCTTTTAAACTAAATGTGAAGTAATTTAAATTGAGTGAAAATATCACATTGTTTGAGATACAACTAAAACTGTTACTAGAGGAAAATTTAGAGACTTAAATGTAAATAGTAGAAAAAAGGAAGAGAGTCAGCAACTTAGACATTTTTAAAAAGAAAAGCAGCAAATGAAACTGAAAGATAGTGGAAGGAAGAAAATACTGAAAAATTTTAAGATAGGAATATGGGGATTAAGAAAAAATTTCAGACTTCAGCTCATGGTTGAACTTCATATCATGAAAATAAGAGGTCACCATACCTTGAATCAGGGTACCTTCTGATTTGCCTGCTGTAGAGCAGGACTTAATATCTTTTGAGAGAATGTATCCAGGGCTTCCAGAGGTGACTATCACTGTGTCACATAGTTCATAAATTTTAAATCAGACCATCTCAGCTCTTCCAGATGTTAAGAAAATTATTTCAGCTGTTTTTTACTTGTTATTGCTGTAGTCAGAACAGGAAGTTAATTTTAATGAATTGAAAATCTAGAGGAATGCCAAGGAACATGATGTACTTAACCAGGGCACTGGATGGCACAGTAAGTCTGTGCATAGGGAATAACCTGTAGCCTAAAGAGTGAATCTGTTTGAGAAGGAATTTGTTAGGTTCTGGGAGACTCGTTATAAACATGGAAAGATTGAATTGTTGAACTTGAAATGGTAGTCACCTCTAGTTACTCCCTACTGAATGCATCCTAAAATATCTTATTTCTGTTAGTTGCACAATGGCTGCTTCTTCACCCACAAAGTGTTTAATGGATAGATTTATGGACTGGGGTCGTAAACTGGATCAAGGCCATCTTAGTGTGGACACAGATTAATCCACTTGGGCTAAAGTCAGAACCTTCCTATTTTTGGTCAACAGCTAAGAACATCAGGTAAGTTTAGGTTTCAGCATCCTAGGGCCTTGTTATATGTTTTGTTTGAAACGTAATTTTTTTTTTAATTTCAGAGAAAATTTCCCAAGAGATTTGTGTAGTTACAGAGGAAGATAACAAATATGTAAGTCATCTTCTTGAAGAAGTGCTAAAAAGTGAATTAAATGTAAGTATTCAAAGACTGAATTTGATAAACTTTGATTGCCACTTTTATAGTATAAATATATCTTTCTCAAAAAAACAGAAAAATCTTTTAATCGTAACGTTCTTGTTATTTTGCCTCGATGAAATTCTTTGGTCTCGCAGCAGTTACTAATCCGAAACATATTCCATCCCTCTTTTCATTCCTGTCATGGATTTTCTTCCAGTCTCCATGTCCTTTAGGAAGCCCTGCCTGATGCCTGTACTCCCCAGTGTAAGGCTGAGACTTGTCTTAAGAGGCATAGTGGCCAGCACGTGCTAGATGCTTAGTAAAGTTTGTAGACTCTATGAAGACTAGAGACAGATTAAGTAGAGGAAGGGGGAAAAAAAGAGACATGATGACAAAAGGTGAGATAATCATGATATTGAAAAAGTGAGTGAATGTGAAGTGACCCACTTCCTAGTTAAATTCATGTCTAATATTGGGGCTAGTAAAAAAGAAGATGAAATAAGTATGAGGATATCTGTAGGAACTATTTATATTTTACCACTAAGCTCTGCCATTAGTCATTTTTATGACAACTTTCAAGTATTTTGTTTGCCAAACTTAATTTTGTATATTTTAAATAATTTCCCTGCTTTCATTAAAATGTATAACTTCTAATCAGAGTTTACGAACAACATGTGACTTTTTTTTTTTTTTTACGGAGCCTTGCTCTGTTGCCAGGCTGGAGTGCAGTGGTGCTGACCTTGGCTCATTGCAACCTTCAACTCCCTGGTTCAAGTGATTGTCCTGCCTCAGCCTTCTGAGTAGCTAGGATTACAGGCACAGCAGCCATACCCAGATAATTTTTGTATTTTTAGTAGAGACGAGGTTTTGCCATGTTAACCAGGGTGGTCTTGATTTTCTGACCTTGTGGTCTGCCTGCCTAAACCTCCGAAAGTGCTGGGAATTATAGGCATGAGCCATGGCAGCCGGCGTGATGACCTTTTAATAACATACATAATTCTCATCAAAAGCAGAGGGTGAAAGTTCATTTTAGCTATGTAACTTTTTTTTTTTTTTGAGAGAAAGTCTCGCTCTGTCACTAGGCTGGAGTGCAGTGGAACGACCTCGGCCCACTGCAACCTTCACCTCCTGGTTCAAGCAATTCTCCTGCCTCAGCCACCTAAGTAGCTCGGTCTACAGGTGAGCACCACCACACCTATTAGCTTTGTCATTTTCTCATGCTAGCATAGTTGGAAAGAAAACAGGCTCTGATATCAGACTGCTTGCACTTTGGATGTCAGCTCTGTTTCCTAATTACCTTATCTGTAAATTGAAACTGTTAATAATAACTATATTATAAAGTTGCTGGGAGAACTGAATAACATGAATATATTTAAAGCACTTAGAGAAGCATCTGGCATGCAGTAAGTTTTCAATGAATATGAACTATAATTAAACTTTCAATGATAAGTTGACAGGGTTGTGTGACAGTATTACATAGTACAGATTGCTAGTTCCCACACTTCAGTGCTGTACTGAATACATGAGTTGTTAAAATTAACAAATTAGCCAGTGTCTTCTACATCCTCTTCTTTGAAGAATCTAACTTGAATTAGTATGCTTTAACTTAAAGTTTATAGCTGAAAGATGACAGTGAACTTTTTTACTGTATATATTCTTACATTCTTGTCGTGAACTACTATACCTTCTCCCTCAAACCATTATTTATTCTTAGTTGTATAAGTAAATATACATATAATAGTCACCACAAATGCTTATGTTGATAGCTTAATCATTTTGGTTTTCTGGAACTAATCCTCCAATAGATGCTCTTGTGAGGGCTCATGGGCACAGTATTCCCAAGTTCTTCCATGTGAATAAAATTAATCTTTTGCTCAAAAACTTCAAGATGGTTTTGGCTAGATTAAAAACCATCTTGATTCAACAATTTTTTGTTGAGCATCTTTGATATGCCAGTCGGTTTTGTCATAAAGCATTTTGGTCAAATGTGGTGAACATCTGACTTTCTTCATCTTACAAGTGACTTAGTCTTTTTGCCTGGATGCTCAACTAATTCTTTTCCTTTAAAGTCCTTTTGTTTTACTACAGTTTTCTTAATTATGGTCCTTTTGGTTGATACTGCTAGGTACATAGTGGATTCTTCTGGGTAGTTCCAAATCTTGTTATTTGGCATTATTTTCTTTAGTATTTTCTGTTTTGTTAATTTACTTTTCTTCAGGGGTTCCTGTTGGATGAAGCTTACATGTTATTTGGGCATCTATAGCTGTTACTTTCTCTTGAGTTTTTCTAATCTCTTAATTTCTTCTTTATTTTCTTACTTCCTGTCTTTTCCTTCTCTTGAGGCATTACCATTTGTGTTTTTTTAAATTTAGTCTTCATTTCTGAAATATTTTTTACATTTTTTTCTCTTCTCATCACCTTGTTTCCAAGTTACTCCAAGTCTGACTTTTCTAGTTCCTTTATTTTCTTAATTTCTATTAGCTTATTAAATACTGGGTTATTGTCTTCATTTATTTTATGACTGGTCTTTCTTAAGTGCTTGAGTTTCCTGTATGGACATTATTTTGCTCTTTATTCTTTCTTTGCTTTCCTTTTCTTTTTTGACACAGGATCTTGCTCTGTCACCCATGCTGGAGTGCACTGGCATTATCATGGCTGTCTGCAGCCTTGGCCTCCTAGGCTCAAGCGATCCTCACACCTCATCTTCCTGAGTAGCTGAGACCACAGGCACACACTGCCATGCCCAGCTATTTTCTTTTTTGTGGAGACAGGAGTCTCCATTTATTGCGCACGCTGGTCTCAAACTCCTGGCCTCAAGTGATCCTCTCACCTTGGCTACAAGGATGGCTGCTGCACCTAGTCCTATTGTTGCTTTTAAAGTAGAAGAGTTTTATTTAGTTTAGGAGGAAGGGATGGGTCAAAATAACACTTCTGTGGCCCTCTTTTGCCTGCACTTCCTCTTTCCTTTATTCCTAGTACACCTCTCTTGGTCCATCTAGACTTCTCAGGCTGGTCCTTTAACATACTAGGGTGCTTCTCTTTATTGGTTTTGAGTGTCCTTTGGGCCCAGACCCTCAGTTATCTCTAGCAGAGAACCTTCATGTAGTTCCTTTGTTTTCAACTTTGAATTAAAGCCTACAAAGGCTTCTCCTAGTTTCTGTTGCTATTCCCAGAATGGAATGGCCAGCTGAAGTCTCCAGAAAGTACCTGATGATGATTCTCTTTTCTGTCTTTTTTGGTTTACTTTCATTTTCTTCTACAGTTTTTTAAACTGTTTGTGTCTTTATGTGTGCTACCAATTTACCCTTGCCCACTGATACTGTTTTTTTTTTTTTTTCCTCTTTGGTTGTTTTTAGACACTGCCTCACTCTGTTGCTCAGACTAGAGTGCGGTGTCATCATCTCAGCTCACTGCAACTCTGCCTCCCAGGTTCAAGCGATTCTTGTGCCTCAGCCTCCCAAATACTGGTTTTATAGTAGATAATGTCTGTAGGTCTTTTGTTTTTATATCCTCCTTGCTTTTGTCTGTTTTTATGAAGGGTGTGCAGAGATTCAAAGACTAAAATCACATTTCTAGCTTTCTAGAATCTTTTTCCCCTTGATTCTTTGTATGCTCTCCTGGCCATTTATAATTTTTAAAGAGCACTTAAATTTCTCTTTTAATTTCAAGTATTTAATTCATCTATAAATATAGATATAGCAAATTTAGAATTTTTAAAAATTAGATTTGACTTGAACTTACAGATTTCTTTCATATACTAGACAAAACTAAAAAGTATTCATATATTCAAAAGTAAGAAAATCACCATTCCTCAAAAACCTTTTGTAAAGTTTATTCTCTGTAGGTTTATTGCCGAGTTAAAAATGAGGAAACTGAGGCCAGCACAAGAAAATTAGATGCCAATTTATTCAGCTCCTGGGTGAGGTTCTGTGGTCCTGGGGAGAGGGACCAGGGAAGTCGCGCCTGACTCCTCTCAGGAGTGGGGTTTTATAGGGAGTGAAGGCGTTTGATTGGATTTGGAGAAACAGGATGTGGACAGGGTGAGCTGCTATTGGTAGGTAGGTGGGATTTCCAGTGAGCGGGATAAGTGCTGAGTGCAGAGGGGATTTCCAAGGCGGGCTAGGTGCCGAGTGCAGAAGGGATTTCCAAGGCAGAGCTAGATGATGGGTATATTCTGATAATGTAATTTTCAAGCGGGGAGGGAGATGGGCGTGTTCGAACTCCTGGTGAGGCAACCGGCCTTACACCTTTTAATTGTAATATCCTCCTTTTTGAAGATATGTTAGACTTTTTATTTATTTTTAATGAACTAATGTAGAACTTTCTAAAACTGAACTTTGATGTCCTGTTACTTAGAGAATCTTGGTTGACCTTGAAAGGAAATATCATTCCTGCTAAGCCCTTCCTGGCTTCTAAATTTGGTTAAAAAGAATGAAAAGTTTAATAAAACCTGTATGCCTCACAAACCTAAGAGAATGCCTCCCCTTAGAAACAGCCACAACACTAATTATGGAGTGCCAGGGGTTGTACTGAAATGGGTAGTTCCTTTGACACCTTTGCGGGCCTCACTAAGGAGTTGGTGCATTTACTCAGCCCAGAGCTCTCAGCCCCTAGTGGGATGGCCACACAGGTGAGCAAATACAGAGGCCAGGACAAGTCGTTCTGGGTGCTGGCAGTAATAGAACTTCCTGTGGTGCCATGGCAGCATAGAGCAAAGGTATCCATGACCTCTGGAGCCCCAGAGGACGTTTGTTACGTTGTGCTCTTTCATCTTTCCTGTCTACTATTGCGAGACCAGCTCCCAATATCTCAACGTGGATTCAGTGTCTCTCAAAGTGATCAAGTGGTTGTTGAAAAGAAAGACAGACAAGGAAATATTTTTCCTTAAAGTTGGGCCCATGGGAGACACCACCTAATGCCGCTCCATGTGTGTCTGCCAGTAAAGCCTGGGATTTTTATGGGTACAGGATGGGAGGCAGGGTGGGCCAAAAAGCAACATTCTAGTGAACAAACAG